GGCATATATTTTTATATATTTTATCTTAAATAATCATTAAATGAAATACCATTTCAGGGCCACTTGGTGAACCTACCATTGGAGTTTCTAAACAAGGAGGTGCTTACTCCGCCCGGAACCAGCAAAGAAGGCCTCATTCCTACCTCTGTGTGGACATAGTCTGCCAAAAGTCTCCAAGACGCAACTAGGTCTAAGATTTCCCAGAAGATTTTCACACCAACCTTTGCCAGGATCCCACCAAACGCGCTCAACTCTTACGCCTTGTCATTGCCGAGTCATAATTTTGTATATTGTACATACAAAGGATAGGTCCTTGTGGGACCTAACTACTTTTATCCAATACCTGTAACTCTGCCTTACTACTAGTTAATTTATTTTACGCTGTATGTCTTGTCCCCTATTAGTTTTTACCTAGAACTAAATTGTTATTCTTTATTATGTTAAAACAGTATTTTAGACTGGTTAACGAAAGTTTATTAAAGTGATATGGAGTGCAAATATGTAGAAACCAAAAAAGTTACAGACATCTTTTTTTGGGTCCCCAAAATTGGGATTATTTAGAATTTAAAGAGAACTTAACATTTAATTTTTTAATCAGGAGTTTCAGTTTAATTTCATGGGCTTTTATACTTCTATTCTTTTGAACCAAAAAGTGTGTCCATGGTGGGATGAGGGAAATTGGTTGTGAACCTGACTGAGGTGTGATCCCTTGCAATCAGCTGTTTGTGTTCCACAAAGTTTCCATCATTCCACCGTCAGTGGCGCCATTTGAACACAATTTGGACTTCAAAGATCTCACTTCATTTGATAGTTTAGCATTTGTCCTACAGATGGCGCGTCCATTTCAACCGGTAAAACTTAACTAAGAGGGTTGGGAAATTGTTGCGGGGAAAATGTTGCCAACTTCGGGAGAATTTTTTGTCAATTTTTTTTCCGTTTTTCAACACTTGAGGTGCAGAAAAAACGCGCGCGAAGTGTTGAAAAACGGAAAAGATTGAAAAAAATTGACAAAAAATTCTCCCGAAATTTTAGTGAGAAATTGAAATTTCCAGAAATTTCCGGACAATAAAATGTTAAATAAAAAATGTTAATAACATTCAACATTAAATGTTTAATTAACATTTAAATGTTAAATTTTAAATTTTCTCACTGAAAAGAAATGTTGGAAAAAATATTTTATTATAAATGTATAAATGTATTTACAATTATATATTACAATTATTTACAATTAATACTAAAATTACTAAAACTAAATTAAATATAAATTAAATTCTATTCTAATACCTATTACAAATTAAATCTAACCTAATTGTAGTCGGGCTGGGAAAAGGGAGTGGGGGGAGGATTGGTGGGGGGATTGGTGGGGGGAGGATTGGTGGGGGGAGGATTGGTGGGGGGATTGGTGGGGGGAGGATTGGTGGGGGGAGGATTGGGGGGAGGATTGATGAGCCCATCCCACCGGGCTGGTAAAAATCCTTTACATTAAGAAAGGGAGTAAAATCTTTGTATTTGTTTAAAATGGTCGCAATATTGACGGCAAAGTTAAGTATTAGGTTTTAATATTCGAGTCAATCTTCAATCGCATAGAGCAAGACGAAGCCAGCTAAATCTTAAGGGAAAAAATGACATAAGTTTGCATTCATAATGTTTGAAGTCATTAGCAGAAATATCACTAACAAAATTAAATGTATAATTAACCAGAAAAAAAATAAGAATTGTTATACGGAAATTATATGGGGTTGTAGCTAGAGGTGCAAAAACATCGATGTATGGAGACATCGATGTTTTTCGATGTTTCGGGCTGTTTTTCGATGTTTTTTTTTTAAAATAAAAAAATTTTTTTAAAATAAGTTAAAAAGATAAATAGACATACGGTTTTAATAAAACTAAAAAACAAATATTTATTTCTTTTGCCTTAAATTAATAGAAACAAATGAGATCATTGCTTATTTAGATATTGGTGATTTTTGTTGATAAACATTAATTTATCAACAATGTCTGGTTTAAGGCTGGTCCTGCGGTCGGAAATAATTTGTCCAGCTTTGCTAAATACTCTTTCAGACTCGCAGGACGTGGCAGGCACACACATAATTTTTTTTACCACCTCTTTGAAGGCCGCCATACTGTTCGAAGACTCCTGAAAGTATAAATAATTAATAAAAAAAATAATGGCATACATAATTTTGAAACTTACATTCCAATACTGCAAAGGCTCGCAGACTTCAGGTTCGTTCGCAGTTTCCATATGCTGCCTGAGCATCACAATGGCTTCAGAACGAGCTGTACCTGTTTTGGAATGCAATTTCGCTTTGTTTTGGAAAAAAGCAGAAGATTCGGCCGGATTTGGTGGTGCAGGTTTTTCCGGTGCAGACGACTTCCTGATCGCTGAAATTAGCTCCTCCTCCATGGCACGGCAGGCCTGCTCGGCATTGCTTCGGGCGCTAAAACCATGTTTCTTGAACCTAGGGTGAATTATAGTGGCAATCCGTGGCACGGTGCGGGTTTCGTAGTGGGCAAAACGCTCTGTAAAACGTCCATCTATGGCATCAAAAGCTAGTATCACTTCCGGTGTTTTAAAAGTGTTCTTTAGATTTGAAATTTGCATTTGAATTTCGCATATCATGGGAATAATTAATGAGATCGTTGGGTACTTCGCTCCCGAAATTTTTTTCGTCGCTTTGTCGAAAGGACGCAGTAAAGTGCACAGCTCTTCTAAAATTTCGAGCTCCTCTGACCCAAATGGCAAAGGCGCCTTTGCAGTGCCCAGCAAAGCAATTGTCAGTGCATCCTTTGTGGCCAATATACGTTCTAACATTTGGTATGCACTGTTCCATCTAGTGGGTACCTCTTGAACTAGACATAGGGGATCTGTGCTATTTTGAGCCACCTTAAACTTGGCCATGGTCGTTGAACTGAGCTTTATGAATGCGACTATTGATTTGCATTTGGCTAGTACAGGCTGAAGAATATCCATTTTAAGGATTTCTTGCACAAGCAAATTTATGGTATGAGCAAAACACGGTAGGTGTTTTAGAGCCATATCATCCCATGTACCATGTAATATGTAATGTAATAATAATACGAATTATGGTTACTTCTAAAAATAGGAATTTTCCCCTAAACAAGGTGAATTAATATTTTCTTAAACTTTCGCGAAAGAAATGCAAATGCGTCTCGCCTTGGGGCTCAAAATTTAATCTGCCGGATAGTCTTGAAAAATGCTCGCACTCTGTTTGGACAGTTGGTTGTGCGAGGAGGTATATGAAAACCAATCAGCTGTTGTTTCTGGGATTGACTTTCGTTTAAATGTGGCAAATTGTATGTAAATCCGGCGGAACCGAGGTATTCTCCGCTGAAAAAAAAAACAAAAAGCGCAAAAACGAGTTATGTGACTTGCATACTCTCGCACGAATACTCGCTCTCCCGTGGCACCCGTTTTTGCATTCTCCCACAGTTGCATCACACACACACAGCGGTCCTCCGTCTACACACACTTGCCTCGTAACGTAATAAAAGCACGTGTTGGCTTTGATTTCCCACTCCCACCGGCGGCCCCTCCGACTCCCTGCCCCACAGGTGGACCCAGTTGCCTCTGCTTGTGTGTGTGAGGGCTCTCTATTTTTGCTTTGTTATTGTTTGGTTTTTGGCGATTTGCTTTGACTTTTCTTTGTTTACTTTTGCGTTTTTTTCTTTTGTTTTTTCGTTAGCGAACCGCGTGTTTCTGTTGCAGACAGAGATAGTGTGGGCTGTAGGGGCTAGGGAGCTTTGAATATTGGTGCAAGAGCATGTTCTGCGACGCAAACACAAACCAAGTTCGAAGATCGGCACTGCGCTGGGGAGAGAAAACCGGTTTTGGGTTTCCCTACCACCGTTTTCCGATTAGTTCCCACACATATCAACAGGTAGCTGTAGGCTGCAGCAGGGCCGGTGCGTTAGTGTGTGCAGGCCGACATGCCACCTACTCGCACACCCGCGGACACACTAAGAGTTCCTGCCCCGGCACCGGAACGCTGAACTTCCCAGAAGTTCAAAAAGTGCACATTGTGGCGCAACAACCCGCCTCGCCTCTCCTCTAACCCTCTTTCGTTGAATCGAAAACCTGCTGCCGCTGCACAGAAATCAAAAGTAAACAGCGCCTTGGCCTGCACACGCCTTCCCCGGCACCCCCCTCGGCGCCGCCAGCCCCAGCGTCGAGCCCCAAGAGCCGAACCGCAGTTCGTTGCCTTCGTTCTTGCCTCGCGTGCTTCGTATCTTGATTTTTGCGCGGTTCTAGTTGGCCAAGTGGCTCGGCCCCCAGTCGGCCGTCGCTCGGCGGGTGCTCGGGCCCCATCGGCTCCCCAATGCGCGACCCGGCCCCTGCCCGGCCCCACTCCCACTCCACTGGGCGGTCGGAGCTCGGCGCTCGGCTCCACTCCACTCAGTCAATCGGCAGGCAGCGTTTGGCTTGGTGGGGAGATCGCTGTTTCTCGTTCGCCAATCGATGAGGCATCGGAATTCGCATTTGCGGACCTAGTGCAGTGTAGGGCTCCTCCGTCCGAGTTGTTTGATTTGGTTGCACGGCAATTGGCGACAATTAAGGCAGCCAAAGCAGCCAGGGACCCAGGGACACCAGGGACCACAGGGACAGACCGTGGTATTAATTATTAATAGCTCGCCAGACAAGCTGGCCCCGCGATAAGCGAAGCACAAGCTCGCGTGTGTTTTCGTCAGTGTGTGCCCGCGGCACAGTGGAGTGCATTTGATTGGATTTGTTTGCTGGCTGGCCCGGCCTGGCCAGTCTACGGAGACGTTGGTGGAGACGGTTGTCACTGAACACTGAACAAAGCGACCAGGCAAATGAACATCTAGAACCGGTTAGCTCGCCGCCCGTTTCGGTTTCTTTCATTGTTGCCTGTTGGTTGTTGCTTTCTTGAATTCAGTTTTCCTCGAATTTGCAGAACTTGCAGATCGAATGTCGCGTGTGTGCCGGAAACGGTGGACCCAGCCACGAAACAATAATCAGCCCGCCCAGCCATTCACAAAGCCATAAAGCTCTCCAAACACTCGATAACGAGACTGAGAAGTCGAAGTGCACCCAAAGCGAAACCCCAACCATCCACCATCCGCCATCAACCCCGAAATCAATGCCGCGTCGTTGTTCAATTAAGTGCTGATCCAGTGATTCCTCGCCAGAAATACCAATCGAGGCGCGGCGAATGTGTGTCATAAGTGCAGAAGTGATGTGCGGCAAAGTGCGAAGCGGTCTAAAACGCCAGTGAGTCGAACGCGTTTCTGTTAATTTCCATAAATATTTCCCTGGCTCGAAACCCGAGCTCGCAGCCCACAAAAGCCGGAAAAGTGCAAGTTCGGTGCGAAAGTGAACCAGAAGATATGTGAAAACCAAAGGAGGAATACCCATTCTACGGTGCTCATTCAATTGCTGACTAAGGGCGCAATTAACTTGCCTTCTCCAGACTGTGCCTCGAGGAGGAGTTGGCTTTCGGTTCTTGAACACACTCCGGTTGAGTCCCACACCGTGTGGCAGCGTGCTGCACAAGTGCAGCGAAAAATGGCGGCAGCCGACAACAATTAAGCTACACACTGCCACAAACCACTCTTTGAGCCACAAAACAAGCAAATAGTTCCAAAAACAAGCCACTAAGCAGGGGAAAATGTCAGCCACTCAGCCGAAGGACTCGGCAGCCAAGACCAACGAGCTGGCGGCTGAGGCTGAGGCCGCCCCCCTGGCCCCACCCCCCGCCAAGGCAGCGACATCGACAGCCACTGCTCCGGCGAAGAAAACTTTAACCTCTGGCGCGGCTTTGTCATTGTTTGATCAGCTGAAAAACAGCGTCAACCTAAACAGTCTAACAATTGGCGCCGCCGGCGGCAGCAACACAAGCCACATCTCGCCAACAGCTTCGACGACGGCTCCCACACCAGCATCCGCAGCGGACACACCCACCGCCGCACTGTTGCCAGTGCCCGTCCCATCTGACGCCTCCTCTTCACCCGCCCCCGCCACCGCCTCCGCCACGGCCAATATTGAACTGAAGCCGCCGGCAAAGCCCCCGCGGCCCTTCAGCACGCCCAGCAGCATCGGCATTGTGATGGGCACTAAGCGGGGGGCAGGAGGCGGGGCAGGAGGCTCCGTGGAACAGGACATAAACGCGTTGCGATCTCAATTGTATCAGGGCGCCCGGAAAACGGCCGCACCAACCAAGGCGGGAGCTGTCAAGGCGCCGCCACAGAAAGCCGCAAGAACGGGAGGAGTAGCGGCAGGAGCACCCGGAGCAGGAGGACAGCGAAGTGCCAAGGGCTCTAAGAAGCGGTGCTTGGATCGATACGATTCGTCAGAGTCATCAGACAGGTGAGTGTTAGTTTGTCGGAATGGGTCTATGGGGTTTTAGAGACATTGTCTCTCATGGGGGTACGATAGGATCAGTGGCATTAGTCACAGACATTCCTCAGAGTGTGTTCATTTTATTGGCAATTAAATGGATGGTTAAAAGAGGAAATTCGAATGGAATTTTGTACTGTATTGTGCCACTAAGAAGACCATCAAAGTCTCGAAGAAGGCAGTATGTATATCCGGTACTCTTTTAAGAGAGGGCTGTATAGAATTGGGGTATAAGTGGGGCAATGGGTCATCTTACAAACAATGAGAATCCCAGGGTAGCTTTGCGGAACCGATATCAATTTAATAGATACTTTCCACTCTGCTCTTTCCAATAGAATGATGATAGAATGATATATACGAAAATCGATATTATCGGCTCGGTCAGCATCTTAAAGCCCAAAGCATAGCCTTTTGAAACAGTGCTGCCAAATGTTCCTCCCAAAGATACAGACACGCCAACGGAAATGCATCTGTATCTGCGGACTGGCTGGCTCTGCCAAGACTGAGCTAAAAGCGGATACTCTAAATATATCCGTGAGTTGCATTGCCAAAAAACGAACCTAAAGTGGCAATGCGACCCAACGGCAGTCGCCCAAAATAGCCCGAACAGGCGGCCAGGCCCCGGACCCGTGTCCGTTCACTTCCAATATCGGAATATGTCAGCGGAATCGGTGGAGAACTAATAACCGCCGCGGGGGAATTTATCTGACAGGTTATCGGTGCGATTATTGTACCTGCGAGTGGCCAGCACTGTAAACAATCGCCGAGCACGGCCGGCACGCGCCTCGTAGATTGTGTATTTACGACCACAGATACATTTGTGTCTACTTAGGCGGGCGGCCACAAAAACATCTTGCTGCAATGCCAACTAATTTCCGCTCATTAAAAATGCGCAGCGCAGTCAACTGTGGCAGCGACGGCGGCAGAGGCTGCAATTGGAAACAAAGCTAAGGCTGCGGACTGCTAGCATTTGTATCTGGCAGATACGCACAACATGCGTTCATTTATCAGCCACAAATGGCCGTTGATGAGCCGCAGTAGCTGATGATTTTGGATGTGCGCGGCGCGTGTGGGCGGAGAGCGAACGTCGGCGGCTTCCTGGCTGCATTCAAATACAGAACCAGATACAGATACAGATACAGACATGGCTGCAGATAGATCTCCTTGGCGGGGCAGATGCAACTTCAAACTCGGATGCGCACGCTCGTCCGCATCTGTATCTGTATCTGTGTCGGTGGCGAACTGTGTGCGCAGCATAGCAATCTCCCGACTCCGCCGGCTCTTTGCATTTCAATTAAACGGCTGTTGTGGCTCTCGGCTTGCTATCGCTGTTGCATGCAAATCATGCATAAATTTAGTTGGCCATCGATATGCCTGGTTTCTGTTTCTGTTTCTGATTCGGCTTCAGGTTTCTGTTTCTGTTTCGGCTTCGGTTCTGGCTGCCATCCCTCCTATCCCATCCCGTTCACACGCAACTCGCGCATATCAAATGCCACATATCTGCTATCGCCGCTATTGTATCTCTCAGTACGTTTAACACGCCGCGAATGTTTTGTCAATTGGCCCCATCATCCTCCCCCCGATCTCCGCCCAAGTACGCATCCCCAGGTCCCTCGCCGCCGGCTGTCGGAAATCATTTCAACTTTTGGTCGTTGAACTCTTTTTGATTTATTTTCTTACTTGTTTGCTTTTGTTTTTCATTTAGTGTTTGTTGTGTGTTTTCTGTGTTTTTGTCGCCGTCGTTGTCGTGTTTCGAAGTTTGTTGTTGCATTTGCATGCTTTTGTTGACTCCTCGTTGCGCCAGTTTTTGTTTTGGCTGGAAACTTTGGTTGCATCTTCGGCGAGATGCCTCCCTGCGACCGACGACACTGAGAGGAATTTCGAGACCCCCGGCTAACCTCTGACTTGCTTCGCTTTGGCCTCAATTCCCCACCACATCAGAAACCAAAAACAAGAACACAAAGAACCTGAACCGCCGAGGGAGCCTAGCGCGGGGTCGTTAAAGTTTTATTTTTCCGTAAAAACAAAACAAATTGCATCTTTGCCGGGACCAGAGAGCAGGGAGGAGGGAGCTGGGGCTCAAAAATGTGTGCACTGGCTGGCAAGTAACATCCGCAGCTCCGCAGCAGAGCCATTTAACTTTAATTATCGCTCATAAAGCTGAAAACACAACAACTGCAAGAGTCGCTACCTACTTGAGTTGCTGGCACTCGTGCATATTGCCGCTGCAACATCGCTGTCATCGTTTTTGTTGCAGCGTCGCTGCTATTGATTTTGTCGACTTTTGTCTTACAGGTTTTCCACGTTTTTCCACATATTTCCACAAGACCCAAGAGCGACCCACTGCTCCAATGGCGCGGGCCTTTTGCCACGGCAAAGCGCTTTCCGCGCTTTTTGCCGACTCATGCCCCAACTCCGGAGCGGCTGCCACAGCTTCTCTGGGCTGCGGGGCAGGTGCGGCGGGGGAGGCGACAATCACCCTGAGAAATTGTGTAATCGCCCACGTTGATTTATCTCGTTTAAGTGACTCCGAAACGGCAGCGGCAACAGCTACAGCTCCAGCAACAGCGGCCACATCGGGCGATGACGTTGAAAGTGCAATGTAATATGTTGCAATTGTTGCTGCTGCTGCGAGTCGTGCATGTTTAGCGGTCGGGCTTCTTGGCGCTATTTGCCATTTCTTGGCATTGCCATTTGGACGTTGCTTGTGGCTCTTTTCGGCAGTGTTGCTGGCCAACTTTCGGGGCCGGGGCAGCTCACTCTCGCTTGTGTTGGCCGACCTAAATCCGGCCACGCCCAACGCCCACTGTCGATTGCCGGCAACCAGGGCACTGCAGCTGCAACAACGAGTTAATAACTCGGTAATCAGTGATAGTCGCTGCTCTCAACGCCCCCAGTATCTAAATAATGGTTTCTTTCGGAGAGAGTCTGTCCTTCTTGGGTTTTAATCGAGAAACTACGTCTTGGAGTTTCAAGAGTGATCTGATTTCGGGGGATTTCCGAATGAGTTTCCATTTTCTGAAACTCTTATCGTATCTTGGGGTTGCTTATAATGCTTCCTCTCCTGATTTATATTTGTATACAGTTTTACATGATTATCTTATAAGAGATAAGATTGTATTAAACATTATATTGTTTTGAAGTGTATTTTTGGGAGAGTCGGACCATTATCACAATATCGCTTTGAAAACACCCATAATATAAGGTTGTCAAATATCTCCCTTCCGCCTTTTTGTCTTTTGAATTTCGCGGCTATGTACAAAGCGCTACAGAGCTCGTATCTGGCAACACTATACATAATTTAAAAGGTCTTGACATAACCTACAAAACGACGCTATGCATGATTAGTTTGGATATTGCGTTCACCAGTTATAGACGTGTAAACATGGAGTTCACTAACGCCGAAATTCGCGCTATTTTAAAGTTTTCCTTCGTTAAAGGCAAATCCGCTAGAGAAACGTTCCGTGAGATTAATGGGGTTTTGGGGGATGGTACTCTATCACTTCGAACCGCGGAGGAATGGTTTCGACGATTCAGAGCCGGTGAAAACGACACCATGGATAAGCCAGCCGGCGGAAGACCTGTGACGACAAATACCGATCAAATCATGGAATACATCGAGTTAGACCGGCATGTGGCTTCTCGTGACATCGTCCAGGAGATGGGAGTTAGTCACCAAACCATTTTAAACCATCTGCAGAAGGCTGGATACAAAAAAAGCTTGATGTTTGGGTGCCGCATGATTTGACGCAAAAAAACCTTGTGGACCGAATCAACGCCTGCGATATGCTGCGGAAACGGAACGAACTCGACCCATTCTTGAAGCGGATGGTGACTGGCGACGAAAAATGGATCACATACGACAATATCAAACGAAAACGGTCGTGGTCGAAGGCCGGTGAATCGTCCCAAACAGTGGCCAAGCCGGGATTGACGGCCAGGAAGGTTTTGCTGTGTGTTTGGTGGGATTGGAAGGGAATCATCCACTATGAGCTGCTCCCATATGGCCAGACGCTTAATTCTACCATCTACTGCGAACAATTGGACCGCTTGAAGCAGGCGATCGACCAGAAGCGTCCAGAATTGGCCAACAGGAAGGGTGTAGTGTTCCACCAGGACAACGCCAGACCACACACTTCGTTGATGACTCGTCAGAAGCTACGGGAGCTCGGATGGGAGGTTTTATCGCATCCACCATATAGCCCGGACATAGCGCCAAGTGATTACCACCTGTTCCTGTCCATGACGAACGCCCTTGGTGGTGTAAAGTTGAACTCAAAAGAGGCTTGTGAAAAGTGGCTGTCCGAGTTCTTCGCAAATAAGGAGGGGGGCTTCTACGAGGGAGGTATTATGAAGTTGCCGTCTAGATGGAAACGGATTATCGAACAAAACGGCGCATATTTCAACTAAATCGGATCACTGTAACACTTTTTATAAAGCATTGAATAAAGAGCAAAAAAGCGGAAGGGAGATATTTGACAACCTTATAATTACATGTTATGTAGAATTGGCCCAATTTAAAGAGTTGCACATAGTCTGTTTTCGCCAGAAGAGCTGCCGAGCATTGTCGAGACCCCCAGCCTGCTGCAGGTGCACTGCCTTGCTTCCTCCTGGAAGCCTTCTTTTGGCCTCTTTGCTTTTGGTTTTTTCCACTTGTTCGAGGCATTCTCTGCCCGAGGCGCTGGTTCTTCTGGGATACCCTGTCCTCCAAGAGGAGGCTCGCATGCCGGACGCCGCTGGGCTCCCTCGGAAAGTAAGGGAGCTCGCCGTTCGGATTGGATCTGAGAGTTCCCTCCATGTTTTCGCTTTGTACCAACAAATATTTTTGTGAATTGCAAACCAGCTGCTCTCCCATGTGAGCCCGTTCGAGTGGTTGTGTGAAAAGCAGTTTAAACACGAAATTAGAGCTCGGGCCCTCTTTTCCGCCCCTTCGCCAGCCCAGGTCTCCCCCTGTGGCCCACCGAGGCCCC